TAAACTGCAAATTACATGTGTAATATCATCTCATGAATGATATAATTAGAATGGATTTGGATTGTGGAGAAACACACTTGCACGTGCATACATATTACATACACACTTGTATGCTTGTGCTGTCAATCGATAAAAAATCAGATTAATCACAATTAATCACTTCGCCTAACTAAGATTGAACTATAAATATGCACACAGTTGTGGAAGTCCCTCCTTCTGCCGCACTCCAACCAAGCAGTTATCCAAATTTTGGATCAGTAAGCAGGTAATGTATATAACTCCCTCCAGGTTGAAAAACTGACACAAGGCATTCTTGATGTAAACTGGCATTTATAATTAGACAAAGGTGTCTTTAGCGATGCCATAAGAACTGTACAAAAAAAACACATAAAATACATTTTTATACAGAAAGACATTCTCATAGAGAACAGACAAATAATATGAAATAGCAAAACATTCACAATACAGTGGTTTGACTGACAAGAAAAAATAATAGACGCATTCCATCACCTTTAAACACGTGGCTAACAGAAACTTGACAAATTCTTCACTAATAAACATTCCACTTCCACATAAACACGTAAAATACAAATGATTTAATTGGTCTCTTTATTCTTTAGGGGTTAAGAAAAGAACCTCTCGGCGTACATCTTCTTTTAACTTCGCTGCACAAACTTAAGTGCATACTTCTAGAAATTTCTCTAGCTACCAGAAAAAGAAAGCACACTGCCCTCTACTGAGTGGCAGATCCAAACCAAACACTGGTTCCACTCCTTTAACTCAAAACCACCAAATCAACTCAAACTGCACAACTGCCACGAATGGGAGCCACAATGTAGTCACCAAGTACTCCACAGCAACTAAGGGAAACTTACACTACAAGTAGTAGCAAACTTGTTCAGGGACTAACTGATAAGATATATTTTATTTTCTAGTTCTCGAGTGTCCAATGCCTTTCTGATGCAGTCCGGGGCAACTGCCCATAAAGCATGCATCAAAAACCTACACTGTACAGTTTGAGACAATAAAAACATGTTTTATTGCCTCAAACCATGCATGTCTGAAGATTCTCGGTGTTCTAGGTTTTTATATTAAAGTAGTTTTAAAGGAAGTAATTTAAAAATGTCCCTATCCATTTGTTTTCTATGGAACTTGTGCAATGAGATGACAAACACTTGTCCTCATTGAGCCGAGTGACCAGCTTAGTTCCTGCACGTACACAGAGCTGTGCAGAACTGGTGACGCTGTTTGTCGCTCTTCGTGTGTTGAGCCCACCTCGTTGCTGCTTTAGTTATTTTATTATAATTTTTATTCTATCAATATTACTTTATATTTCCATTTCAAAATCTGCCTCTACTATGCCCTCTACAGAGTTATATTGTTGTAATTGCCTTACTTGTTTGTGTTTACTTTGTTTAAATAAAGTTTTGAAAACAAAAATCGAGCCCATAATGCACTGCTGTGAACGAGGTAACCCTCCAGGAATGAGAGGCTTTTAAGTAAAAATAGTGGTTCTATTAATTTTTATGTAATGTCAATGTGTCAAAATTTTCAGATTAGTTGCTTAGGACACTAATGTTGACAGCCCTAATAAATACATACATACATGCATATTTTTACATGTGTATGTATTTTATACTGCAATGGACAGTAACACTTTATTTGAAGGGGGTTGAATAAGACTGTCATGACACCGTCATAAACATGACATAACACCTGTCATGAACATCAATAAGCTTTCATGAATATTTATGACTGTTGTCATAAAGCGTCATTCGGTAAATTATGACACTATTAATACAAAGTTGACATTATTCAAAATGTCTCTGTTATAACAACTTGACATTAACCAAGAAATCATTACTGATATAAATTTGTTATAAAAGTATTACTGATTGCACTTTAAAAATTAGGTAACTTTATGTTATTAAAGGTAAAGTTTAAACAGCAATGATTTCCTGGTTAATATCAAGTTGTCATAACAAAGACATTTTGAATAATGTCAACTTTGTATTAAAAGTATCATAATTAACCGAATGAAGCTTTATGACAACAGTCATAAATATTCATGAAGGCTCATTCATGTTCATGACAGGTGCTATGTCATGTTTATGACAGTGTCATGACAGTCTTATTCAACCCCCCTTCAAATAAAGTGTTACCCAATGGATTGGCAATGTGTCCAAGGTATTTATATAATTTTTCTTTTTTTTTCTTTTCTTGTATCCAGAAGAGTGTCTGGCTGAATTAAATCATTGGAATAGCAAATTGTTTCAGTTCTGTCAAAATAAATTTAAACTTAAAGACCTGAATTTAACTTTAAAAGAATCCAAGCCCTGTTCCTCAGAAAAAAAAAGATGAGAAAAAAATTGTGATGGTTTCGTAAGAATAATGTGTCTTTTTTCACAATCCAAATCCAGTCCTAAATCAGTGTGTGTGTGTGTGTGTGTGTGTGTGTGTGTGTGTGTAGACTGACAGCATGGTCATTCACAGAATCTGATGGGGCTTGTCATTTCCCTCTGGGGACTGATGAGGACTCATCTGCTCAGACATGTCATTAGAATATGAAAGAAAAAAATACAGGTTTCATAACTTTTGTGGACCGCTTTAACAAAGTTTTGATGATTGGAACGTTTTGTGGCTGTCATCCTGTGTTGGCGATTTGAAGCACCTTGTGATTCAGGCGATCCTGGCGCCCATTCCGCAGACGTCTCCTCGAATAGGAAGAAGCCAAATAAATCCTGAGCTGTCAGAGGAGATGCAGTGCGGATGTGTGAAGGTGGTGGGATAGGGGAGGGTTTGAATTTACATTTATATATGAATGTAGGTGCCTGAAGGGCTGGTCTTGTCGACATGTTAAGACATTGACATGCTAATCACAAGGCTAGGGGATGCCACCTGTCTAGCTAGGTGACGGAAAGTGGCGGCCAGTGGAGATGCACGTGTGTGTGACATGTACGTCTTGCAACTACTGATAACTACATGCACGAGCTGCTGACAATACACAATATTATGCAAAAAATATTTGTGTGACAGTGGTGCATGTTGTGGCCTTGCTGACTACAAATCAGCTCTTCTTCCCTGTGGAGATTTTTCTGCTGCCGTCTACCCATTGCCCTAAACATTTGGGTGCCATCTTCCTCAACATACAGCAAATTTGACCCCTCTACTCTATTTTAATGCTTGAATATATGGATAAATTTAGTTTGTCCGTTACTTTCAAATTCATACAGGTTTTGATCTTTCCTGTAGTGATTGCTCTCATCTTGACACTAGAAATTAGGAACCTCTTTTATTTGTTCAGCAGTCTGACCTACGGAGCGTGCTGTGCTGGCAGTCCTCATCATGCCTTTGCTAATCCACATCTACGAACAAAACCAAACCCTCCACCGATAAGAATTGACCCTAACCTGCCACTTACTGTAGCTCTTAGATAATGTAGATAAGGCTTTGGCTGTTGGTTTACAACAGTCAAAACCACAAGTCTTTTTTTTTCTTTTTTTTTACTAAAACAGAACCAGTAGGCCGACTACTGACAGTGGTGAGGTAGAATGTGTATACAGGGATTATGTTAAATTGTTAAGAAATCTGTGTATTTATGTATGTCTGCTGTTCTGCATCTTTGTCATCCATGAGATGGATGGTGATTTGCATGTTTTCTTCTCAGGTTTATGTGAGCCATTTGCAGCGGAAAAAAAAATAAATCACGGGAAGTAGTGATTTGTTTGGTGCAAACAATTTGTATTCGTATTTATTAAATAACTATTATACATGAAATCACTGTATTGTTGATTTATATTTTGGTTTCATATCCTTTTCGCTATTGGTTTTCATCAAATTGTAACACTACGATGTGAGGTAAATCCGTGTTACCATAAAAGAGGAGGACGTGGGTGGAGAAAGAGTAGAACATTGAGAGGGAATAGCGTAGCTGTCTAGACTTTTATTCAACCTTACGTTAACAGAACAGAATCCGTCTCGGACCCTCCTAAAAAAAACAATGAAGAAGAAAGAAACAGCTCCTCTTATAAGACACAGCACAATTCTTTGGCTATGGATGATACAAATGATACAAGTGATACGGGTGTGAGGTTGGTTGAACCCCATTTGTAAACACAAGGGCTAGGGAACAATTTCTCTAATGTTCTCAAAGAATAAACTTTTCCGATTGGGGGAGTTTGCGGTGAAAAGGAGACGGCTGAGTCTGAATACTCAACTTCTGCTTTGACGAAAACAGCATTAGAAGACAGGACACCTGAAGAGACCACTGTCCTAGGTAACAATTTCTCCAATCTTCCCAAAGAACAAACATGGATATGGATGGATATGTTAATGAACAGTGAAAAACTTGTGAAAAGTTAATTACAACTGTCCATCCGTTTCATCCATCCATTTTCCGGGATCAGGTTGGGGGGGTAGCAGCTTACGAAGAGAAGCTCAGACTTCCCTCTCACCAGCCACTTGTTCCAAGTCATCCAGGGGAATCCCAAGGCGTTCCCAGGCCAGCCGAGAGACATAGTCCCTCCAGCGTGTCCTGGGAGGGGGCCCTGGCGGTCCGATCCTCGGTTGCAGAAGCTGGCTCTTGGGACGTGGAATGTCACCTCTCTGGTGGGGAAGGAGCCAGAGCTAATGTGTGAGGTTGAGAGGTTCCGGCTAGAAATAGTCAGTCTCACCTTGACGCATGGCTCTGGTTCTGGAATCAGTCTCCTCTATGCATCACAAATTTGGAACAAACTTCCAGAAAACTGTAAAACAGCTGAAACACTAAGTGCCTTTAAATCTCAACTTAAAACCCACCTGTTTAGAGTTGCTTATGGCTAAATTATGTCTTAGATGTTTTTATCTTTACTTTTTGCCTCTCAATAGCAATGTAATAAAATGAAGTTTCTTTTACTTCCACACATCACAGCCCAATGTGAGACAGATCCTGTCCCAAAGTGATGCAAGTATTCAGTTTGTTGGGCTCTTAAAAACGTTTTTTTCCCATGATATTTGAATATCATTGTTTGGTGTAGCATTTTCAATAAAATATGTAAAAAACAAATCAGTTCTACAAAGTTTTTATTTTGTATTTTTAGTTCTGGTGTTTATCCACCCTGCCTTCATGTTCTCCAGCTGTCTGGCCTACAGTTGAACTTCCCACTCTGGAGACAAGGCTGCAACGATTACATCAGTCCCTGGAGCAGAGCCAGAAATATGGCCCCTTTTCTCATTTCCATTATCAAATTTGACCTTCCTCATCCTCCCTGACCCGACAAAAACAGCGTTTAAGGCACACTTATTAAACACAATCTAGTGAAGTTATTAAAACAAGCCAGCTTACTGAGAGACCTGCCACAATTCAATTACCTGTGTAGCTGGAGGGAGAAGCAGCTCAGTGCAGGTGATGATTCTTCTACCTTTATAGAGCGAGAAAAACGGCGTAGTTAGCTTGGCTTCAATTAACACAATGGTGCTGTGTTAGTAATGAGCTGGCCAGTGATTGGCTGGGAGGAGGGTTGGAGGTTAGCAGCTCGCTGCTGTCAGTGCTGAGGGCAGTGTCTGGACCAAAGTGAGCTCATAGTTTCTTGTCACTCAATTTCTTGGCAGTTCCTGGATTGTATCTTTTCCATTAGCACCTGAATCATAGATATGACTCTGTCATTACGGTGAAATGGCCGGGCTGGAGACAAGTTTTGCATTTTCTCTTTGAAAATTCCTTGTTATGAATTACTGTCATTCAATTATGATAGAGCATTTACTGCTTGATCACTTTAGTCTATTCTTTATTTGGGTTTTGGTTGCTTATCTTGTCTTTGTATGCCTGTTAGGCTTTAATTATAAAGACCAGAAAATGACTTTGGTGTCCATTCCTGCTGATATATTTTGAGATGTTTACAGGACAACCTTTTGAATTTTCAGACAGACCATCTGGAAGCTAAAACATGGAGCAGCATAGACTAGAAAAGAATAGAACTTTATTTTTCCTCTTACTCTGGGAATAACTCATATTGGCAAGTTTCTATAAACCCTTGTGGGGTCCAACTGACCCCACACACATAAAACTTGTATCATTTGCCACAGTCCTGCACTTTTGCCTCAGTCATCGCACGCACAAGAGTTAAATGTACATTTAAAAAAAAAAATTGCTTAAGAGCATAATTTTTGTGAAAATGTTAACATTGTTTTGATTATTTTCATTGTTCTGGAAATAACATTTACTTGTGAGTAAATGTTAGTTTGTAGAGCAACATCTCACGAGCTAACCACCATTTAGTCTGCAGTCTGTAAAGCTTCAGTCTTCTTTTAAAGTGACCCTCACAGCCTTTGGTAACAGACATATTTTCTGTGTAAAACTTTTGTTTGCTGGGCGAAAAAACATTTTTGTAACAAATAAAATTTCTCCATACTGCGAACAGGTTTTCTTAAACGTATATGTTACCTAAACCTAATTAGATCCCAAAGGACCCGGTCTTGTTTCCTCCCAGATATCCAAGATGTCATGAATTTGACACACCATAACAATTCCAAATATTTCTAAGGGATTGAACGTCTGTAGATAAATCTTAGTCGTTCCAGAGAATACCTGAAGCAATGTGAGAAACTGAGGCATTCGAAACACCCTGTTATCTGTTTCCCATGTTTTCCCCATGATTCCCATAAACCATGATTTAATTTGGCCTTTGTCTAATCCATCAGATTAAGCAGGTTAAGTGTTGAATGAGCATCAGTCATATTGGAAAGTGTTTTATAAGACCTTTGAAATAATGGGTATCAATTGTGAAAAGAAGAACTCTGTCAACTGGAGTTGTATCAGAGTGTATGGTAGTGTTATTATAAGTCAAAACTAAAATACATATCAGTGTGAAGAGTTCTTCTGAAACTTGCTGAAATGTAAGCCAAAGTAATTTGCATGAAAAATTTTCCCTTCCAGCAAGACAATTTTTCCATGTTAATCAGTAAAAGAGACTTCGGTTACGGAACATTACAAAATTACCAATATGTAACTTCTTACAAATGGGTTTCAAAAGGCTGCACTTCTGTACAATAAGCTAAAGAGTGAGACAAAAGTATTACTGGGGAAGTGTGTGTGTCTGCATGATATTACCAGAGGGCACACACAAGCCATATGTTGGTTGTGCAGACCTACACCAACACAACCACATCCCCAACTCAAGGCAAACTCGTGGTGTACCAAACCAGCACAACGCACCGGACCCTCACTAATACCAGCCACAGAAACCACAAAGCCACACCTGACAAGATGTGGGCCGTCACTGCCTGGCCCACATCAGTATCCCACTAAAGTGCAAAAAACAGTACTTCTGACCCACACAAGGCACAACGGGCACATACTGTACATATATGCTATACATCTTATCTGTTACAGATGACATGAAATAATAAAAAAGGAAAACTAAACAGACCTGTTTGAAGTGGACTCTCCTGCCAGCTCCCAGACTCCAGCCCTGTGTTTGTCACATCCAGAGCAGAAGGTGAAGTGACATTTGATTCATTTTCTACTCATTTTGGAAAACATTTTGATGAGGTCTAGCTGCTTTAAAGTCAGTTTATTCATGTTTAGTTAGCTTCACTGCACAGTTACATTTAGTTTTTGGGAAAAAAATCAGCAGGCAAATAAATAAAAGCAAACTAATGCGGTAACACTTTATTTGAAGGGGGTTGAATAAGACTGTCATGACACTGTCATAAACATGACATAACATGTCATGAACATCAATAAGCCTTCATGAATATTTATGACTGATGTCATAAAGCGTAATTCGGTAAATTATGACACTTTTAATACAAAGTTGACATTATTCAAAATGCCTTTGTTATGACAACTTGACATTAACCAGGAAATCATTACTGTTTAAACTTTACCTTTAATAACATAAAGTTACCTAATTTTTAAAGTGCAATCAGTAATTCTTTTATAACAAATTTATATCAGTAATGATTTCTTGGTTAATGTCAAGTTGTCATAACAAAGACATTTTGAATCATGTCAACTTTGTATTAAAAGTGTCATAATTTACCGAATGACGCTTTGACAACAGTCATAAATATTCATGAAGGCTTATTCATGTTCATGACAGGTGTTTATGACAGGTGTTATGTCATGTTTATGAAAGTGTCATGTCAGTCTAATTCACCCCCCTTCAAATAAAGTGTTACCCTACTCGGTTACCATTTTTGCTTTGGATGTACATGCACCCACAGGCACATAGACGATGTTCTTACACAAAAGGCAATTTTATTTTTCTTTCTTTTTAATAGTAAAGGGGAGAAAAACAAAGTATTTTTTAAAAAAGAACTAAAAACAATTATAGAAAAGTGCTGCCTATATTTGTTAATTTTTTCTTTTCAAAGTAAGTGAGTGCATTTTACTTTCAGGTCTGCTCAACAGTCCAGACATTACAATGGAACCAGAGAAAGTAGTTCCAGTGGTGAGAACAAAACTGGTGCCGAGCTAGCAGTAGAACCAGTTTAGCACTGAAACCAGCGTAGTAAAAAAACAAAAAAAAAAAACTATTCCCCCATCCAGAGAAACACACAAGGAGTCCCATCCCCTCAGGTAACATCTTGTGCAAACATACTGCTGATTAAAAACAGGCCTGCAAGCATGGCTGCTGCCAGGAGGAACAGGACAAACAGAGCCTGTGCATCAGGAGGCTGGATCCTGAACGCAGTGGAAGAGCAGAGCCAAACAAAGCTTCCTGACATGTTTGTGCCTTGGTTCAGAGCACCTCAGAGCTGCACAGACTCCGACAATGGCACTTCTGATGTGCAGTCTTAGATTCCTGATAATTCGTCATGTTTTGAAATGTCTATTTTTCTGCTGCCTTCACCTCAGAACAAAGAAGGTGAACGGAATTTTGTTTGTGGAGTCCAAAGCATAAAACACCATTCAGTGTTGGCTGTACAAATTCCAATAACAACATTCTTCAAAAAATAGTTCAAAAATATTTTAGCAACAAATAATAATTAAAAAAAAAGAGTTGTTTTGTTGTTCTCAAGGCTGTGAGCACAACAAGCTTCTCTCCACTTATATTTCATTAAGGTGGAAGCAGAACGTCAGTCTGAGCTCAAACTCTGCAGCACCACGCATCCTGCCTGATCCACTCAGAGGTGGACAGTCTTGTATGAGGGACCGTTTAGGACAAAAACTATGTTTTGTCTCTCACACACTACTAAAACCTCACACACACACAAAATATTAAAATTGCACATATATACGACTAAAATGTCACACACATATACAAATTTTCTCTCACATGCATACACAAAATACAAAAATTGCACATATACACAACTAAAATATCACACGCAAACAATTTTTCTCTCACACACATACATAAGAATAAGATTGCACATACAAACTAATAAAATATAGACTAATTTTTTTGTATGCAAGAGACTCAGTTTTGTATGTGTGAGAGTTGTCACGGAAGAGGTGGGGCAAAATTTGGAGATCAGATCGCGCATGCGTTATACCACGTTGAAGTTAGCTTCAAGTTGGATATTGGAGCTCCACGGTGTAAGCGGCATTTAGCTCAAGGTTAATCCGATTTATGTACGCTAACTTCGGCCAGCCGTTCTCTACTGCTCCCTCGCTTGGAGGAATTATTCCGGTTCTAAGACGGCTTACTCTGGCTCTAATGCCGGTTATAAGGGCACTTTTGTCCTAAACGGCCCCTCATAGTCTTGGGTTTCTGTTCACATGAGCCATGAAAACGTATCCTTGCTTCCTTAATAACACATTCAAGTCAAGTCAAAGTTTATTTATGTAGCACATTTACAACTTCGACTAACCAAAGTGCTTCACAATAACATCACAGGTAGAGAAATTATGAAACAGAAAATAAATTTAAGCTTAGTAAAAATAATTGGACAATTAAAAAATTGGCAGAAAATAACAAAAACTAATTAAAAAAAACAAAAAAAAAAAACAAGACATACTTAATTTCAGCTGCAGTGATTCTCCCCCAGTACTCAATAATCTGGAAACTATTGTACATGTGTGACCACTTAAGCTGAAATACATATGAAATAATGCCAGTATAGTCCATGTCTAATGACTGAGTCAATTATGCATTGTTTTTTGTCCTGGCAATTTGAATAAATCAGTTACAAATTTAGGTTTCAGCCAATATATCAAACCTGTTTATGCTTAGAGCTACTAGAACAGCTTTGAAAATCATTGTAGATATGAAAACACAAAATAAACTGAAAAGTGTTCAACACAGAGACAGAAAGGTCAAAAAACCACACACATAGTGGAAGGAAGCCGGAGTCTCCAGAGTGAACACATGAATGAGAACATGGAGAACATACAAAGGTAAAGGTAATTTTATTTATATAGCACATTTTCAGCAACACGGTAATACAAAGTGCTCCATGTAGGAAGACCTCAGACTGGGAATCAAATCCAGGACCTTCTTGCTGTAAGGCAACAAGTAACAAACATTCCACTGTGTTAAATCCTCACCAACATCCTCCGTTCTTTCTTTTCCAGATACCATGAAAAGTAAAATAAGATTTTCCAGCTGATTACTATTTCCTCTCTGCCAAGTAGGTAAGGCGTTCCTCTCCATTAAATGCAGGGACTCAACAATATGCTATGCGGTTAAATGGTTGAACAGGCAGTTAAAGGGACACACAATGACACAACGTTTTCTTAGAATGTCACCATAATTTCCATCAACATTCATGATTAATTCGAAGCAGCAGTTAAAATAACAGCAAATTTCAGTTTTGATCATGATACAGAGAAACAGCATGGTTTTCCAGTTCATCTGGATTGTTTGACACAGTGCAGTGTAAAAGCACTGAGGAGTTACAACCAAAATGTTGAAACTTTGGTTCCCAATCAAACTGAGTCTACCGGATTATCATGTGTGAGAACACCTTCAATGTCCTTCTTTCTATGATGTAATTGACCCTGTATATTTTGTGTTTAACCTTGTCTCTCTCTCCTAAACAAAGCTCCTGGCTGAGCTTTTCTGGTCTCATAAATTATTGTTTATGAGACCATAAACGATCCCAAGATGCCAAATCTGTGTAAAATCACTGCCTAAGTGACAAGAAACGTTTGGAGATGCACTTGAGCCAACTTTGGAAAGGAATAGCTCCCTTTAAACAGAAAAAAAAATCTACAGCACAAATCTGGTTCAGCCAACTAATAACCTAAATATATACAAGTTGTATTTGCTCATTTCAAATTAACTTTAAATTTAAATTTTGCACAAAAGCAAACAACAAATAATTTATTTTCGTATAATTCAAAATTGATCCAAGCAGCATTGGGTTAATATTAATTAGTAAATGAGTAAATAAAATCTGTCATTATTTGTAGCTCAAAGTGTGCTACATTGCAGCAATATTTTGTAAAGATAAAACCCACAATAAAATATATTTGCAGTGAAATTGAAATGTATGAAAACAGTGTTGAACCTAACTTGTTATGCTGCAGATGAAACTGTTAAACAGCTGGGCAGTATGTTTTTATCCATAATATTTCTAAACTCTTCAAAGAAAACTGTTATCTGTCTGTCTACCTTTAATGTCCACTTGTTCCATGCCTCCCTTCCCTCGGCTTAGTTGTTTTCCATATTTGCTCTGTCTGTCTGTCTGTATGTCAGATTATCAGCAGTCCTCATTTAGCACATCCACTGAGCCAGACATACTATCTTTGCTTTCACGCCCTTTTGTCAGGTCACAGCTCAAGAAAATCACCTTTGGCCAATACCCTTCCAACGCCCACTTTTGTCAGCAGTACAAAGTTGATTTTATTTCCCCAACATCCCACTGATCTCTTTCAAAATCAACCCTGGATAGAAGAGGGAGGGGACACAGAGGTGTCAGCCAGCCAGTCGAACAACCAGGCAGCCAGTTCACCAGCCAAACAAGGTTTTTTTTTTCTTTGGTTGTCTGTAATGCCCATCTGCTGGAAGCAGCATTATATGCAATATCCAATTCAATCCCTTCCCTCAACCTTCCCGAAAGCTTTCAGCCACATTTTAGCACACAAAAGCTGCTGCTCCATCCTTTGTAGCCTGAGCTCCTTTTAAGAAGGTGAAGGTGTAGAGGTGAATCAATAGTGTCCTGGCTCTCAATCTCTCTGGCCTGCTACAGAGGGATTTTTGGTTGGGAGGGAGAAGGAGGGAAGTGGAAGGAGGTGGGATGTTTTTGTCATTCATAAGCTTTGCTGACAAATCCTTGACATCATTTGGAGGATTGTATCGATAAGTTGTTCCCTGGGCTGTGGAAGACAAATCAAAATGATTTGCTGAGCATTTTGTTGTGGTATGGAGGGGGGTGACTGTAGTGGGAGCAGGAGGGTGGGTCACTACAGGTTTGCTGTGGGTGAAAGATTGATGGTGTCCAGAACAAAGATGATGCTGCCAGCCACAGCTGTGACATTAGCAACTAAAGGTGTCTGCACTGCAAAGTAGTTCAAAGTTCATCCAAAGACGAGGAGTGTGTGCTAGTGGTGACTCATCAGAGTCCAAGCTGCAGCTGTTCCTGATATTCAACCCTTCAGTAAAAACCTGCCAAACACACTCAGGTTATCTTCACAAACCAGAGACAAATCAGAAAACTTTAACTGT